CGTTACACACGCAGTTTTTGGCACATTTCTGTATGAACAAATTTGATTATCATTTCATCTGCTCCGCTCCCTCTTGCTTGATTTCTACACAAAAGTTTTCTTTAATACATTCACATATATTTTTATATATATTTTTTTTTTTTGCGTATATAACATATCTCCACGTTCTCTTTCTCATTACTACATACTCCATAGCCACTGTTTTGCGTTTATTAACTAATCATTGTTATTAAATTTTGTTATTTTTTATTTTATTTATTTTTTTCAAAATTTTATATTTTGCTATTTCTGAGTTATTCCTTGAGTTTATAACTTTTTGCTGACATTTCGATTTCATTCTGTGTACATAACGAGAAGAACGCGCCGCGATCACAAAAAACAAGTGGCTAAACAAATATATATGTATTTTTCTTATTATTTTAATTCAATACAAACAACCAACCATTCAAAAGAAAACACTCTGTGTCAATTATGATTATCATTTAATTCTATTAAAAACATATAATATATATTTTAAGTCACAAAAAACCAAACAAAGGAGGAAAGAAGAAAAAAAAACACTCGCACTTCGCGATCCAACTCACACGTTACTCTTAACCGCGCGCGCTTTGAAATCGCTCCGCGTTCAACCAACGAATGCTTTGTGCCGCGCACAGATTGCAGCAGATAACCGAAAAGCAGAAACAAACCCACTAGTGGAGATATTGGCCAGCGTCAGCTCGAAGTGCTACACACGCTCACTCATTCACTCTCTCATATAACGAGCGGAGGTGCAGTGAATTCATCATCTATCACTACACGAGGAAATTTTGTTTTTGTTTTGCCTGCTTGGCATCGCACTTTGTTCGCTCAGTTGTAAAAAAATATCCGAATTCGAAATTAACTTTTTCGAACATAGCATTCAAGTGCTCAATAGACGCTAGCAACAAACCGCCGATGCCGCATTGTACATGTTGTTGGGCGCATAAAACAAAAAAGATTATTTTGAAAAATAAAGACATGTAAACAAAAATGAAATAAAAGAATCAAATTTGCAGCAACTCTCGCTCTTTGTGCATGATCGCACGCTCAGCAGGTAAGACTGCAACTACCCAACGCGCGTACCAGCCGTCCATAGTAACCTATCTTATGAGAGCACCGTGTAAACACAAAGTTGTCACCGGTTTATCATAGCGTTGCTGACGTTTGTGTCGCAGAAACCAACGAAGTTTTGATTTTTCCGTAAAACCGGCTCGGCTCATTTTTCGTTGCTATACAAGGTTGCCAGTATAGCCTTTAAATAATGCGTAGTTTTGTTCAAAAGAAATGAAAAATAAATGCGTAACTAATTATTTGTTACCATATAGATTATGTATATTTGCCTTGTGTTTATGTTCAAGCAAATAAATTGTGAAATTTGTTGACGAAAATTATGAATTTGTTCAAAAGTGTGCAAACACACAGGCAGCTGGCAACATTTCGCCGCTCTCAGCGGCGTCGATAGCTCGTGTATGTATTTCACTACTAACGTCGTCAGTTATGGACGGCTGGAGAGTGAGTTGGGTAGTTGCAGCCTAAGGAAAAGAAAAACATTCGAAAGGTAAATTATTTACTTCGGAGAAACGGTGTATGTATTTATGCTCCGCAGAAGTGTGTAGCAGCGGCTGTGCATTTCAAGATGAGAGCGTAGAGTGGAACCTGTTCGAGAGTATGAAAAGTTCGGGTAGAGTGGCCAAGAGTTATTAAGAGAATGGATATTGAAAAATAAATATTTTCAACAAATTTCAAAAGTGGAATGAAATTTTATTATTTTAAAATTCAGGGAGTGTAAAAGGGAAAGTGAATTCCTCACAATTCTTTTTATGCCAGAACTAATTCAGGGAACTGGGTTTGGCTCCTATTAAAACTTTGTTTTCTCTTTAAATATAGCGTCCTAAGGTCTCTACAAAGATGTTTTGTAATCTCCTTGCGGTTTTTAACTGTTTGGCGAAAGAACATTGGAATTTCGTCAATACTTAAATAAACAGTTGAAAATTTGTGCTATCTACAATTTACACCAATATTAATCAATGAACGAAAATTCAATGAAGAATTCTTTTCGAAAAATATCTAAGAAAATTAAAAGTTTGAAGAAAACATTATGATATCTCAATAAGACTTTAGGGACAGAAGTTATTGTGAAAAAGCTGCGGGTTATTATGGCAAAATCCAAGTCCAGAAAATGAAGCCATAAAAATTCAAATAATGTGATACTTGTTAAGCTTTACTGCTGGAAGAATTGGGTAGTTTATATACATAAATATGCGCTTTATAACCGCTGAATAGTAATTGAAGTTCCAGTGATACTTTTTGGAGTTGCTCAATATTACTTCCTGACTTTCCCAAAAAAAACTTTAAGTATATTAACCCAGTTTGGTATATCTACCATTGCAAATAGTTGGCAACCATTTTGAGATCCATTCAGAACTTATTTGTAGATATTTTAGACTCATTTCTCGTTCCGGCATTGTTTGTACCCAGAGTAAAATCTGCTTGTAATTTTTCAAACATCAACTCGAAAAAGACCTTAAAGCTTTCTCTGGATTTTTAGTGGAGCTAGTACAGGATCATTTTAGAACTGTTTCGCAACTAGTAGCGAGGAATAATAAACTATTCTAAAAAAAGTTTGAGATCATGTTGCGCACACTTCTGGAACAATTCAAAAATATTTCCCCGCACTAAATGAATCATTACAGATATTTTCGAAAATGACTTCTAATTTTAATTTAAATAAAAAATAAAGTTAAATATTCTAACTACAGTCGCCCCTCGACAGGGAATGTCCACTCTACCGAGTATATTTCGGACATGAAATAAATGCTCCTCGTTCCATCAGCCGCTCGGAGGCGGCTTAGTATAAATTGTAGGTCCCTCCATTTGTTGGAAAAACATCAAGACGAAAAACCACAAATTGGAGTAGGTGCTCGGCAGAAAAATCTATAATTTTGAGACTATTTTGAAAATATTTCGAGTAATATTTGAAATTGGTTACACTCCATTCAACTAACTCAGAAAATTTTTCTTGAATACTTTGGAACTAATTTCACAAAATTTAAGAAACAAATTTACGGATACCTTGAGCTTTTTTTGGACTATTTCTTGGGAGTTCTAGTCTTCAACGAAGATTTTACCATTCTTTTTTGTTCGAATCGAGACGGTGTGTTTACTTAGATCTGTATGAATGGATGAATTGTATGCAGATCGAAAGCAATTGGAAGTTAGCTTAGGAGCATTTAGAAATTAATTCAGGACTAGTTCAGAAATTTATTGAACTTTTCTTTCACAGTTTCTTACGCAGTTCAATTTTACTTCGATATCAGGATTATGACTACCTGAAAAATTGCTAAAAATGTTAAGAATTTTTCGGTATTAGCTCATGAAGATGACTATTTCAGGGTGTAATTCAGATTTATCTCCAGCTCACTATTGGCTTAGTTTCAGTCACCGGAAAGTTTTAAAAAAATATGAAAATACCGTTCGGAATAACTTGAACATCATTTTGAAAGCAGTAGGATGAACTATTTTCCTCTATGAAGATATATTGAGATATATTTAAAGATTAGTTTTGAACTATTTCTTGAGAATTTTTGTCTTAACACGGTATTATTCCGGTCATAAAAATGCTACTCCTTTGAAATTTGTTCGTGTCGCTGACAATTTGAGAAAAGTTTAAGTCTAGTTTAGGTATAATGGTTTATATTTATACCTAAATATATAAATACCAAGAAATTGTCCAACAACCTCGCAACTGTGAAATTCGATATTATTTGGAAATCAGCTTGGGCTCATTTTGGAATCAGTTCGAGACTATTTTATGTCAATTTTAGAACTAATTAACGAACAATTTAGATTCAGCTCTATACCATCTTCGATCTATTTTGTGAGTAGAGCTTTTGAAAACTAGTTCGAGATTACTTTATATACATTTCGTAAAATATTTTGAAATCAGCTTGAGATCAACCTTGAGTTATTATGTCAGTAGGAGCTTTCGTAAACTAATGCGAGACTACTTTATATCCTTCTTAGAAATACTTTTTGTCCATTTTGCAACTAGAGCAAGAACAGTTTAGAATCAGCTTGATACCATCGTCAAACCAGTTTATACCGTTTTGTTTTAATTCATAGTCAGTTATGAAATAGTCTGGAATTAGCTTGGGCCAAAAGCTTGAGTTAGATTGGCAGTAAAAGAAACTAATGCGAAGATCTGCGAAACAGTCTATCAGTAGAAAAATAGAAGAGTTGTAGACTGAAGCAAGATCGCTTGATATTCAGTTTGAAGTTATTTCAGAAGTATTTTATAATTAGCTCGGAGGTTTTTCATAATCAGTTTCAACAGCGCCAAGGGATTGATATTTTGAAAAATTTACAATTAAATTGTTTTTTTGTAAAAATAATATATGAATAAATAGTTAGAAAAAAAATATGAATTCTATTTGCCTACTGAAAATATAATATTTTAATAAATATATATATAAGTATATTCATAAATATAAATGAATGAGTCTAAGTGCATATACTACATTCATACATACGTATTCATGGATCAATTCGGGTTATCTAAAATCCGTTTTGCATTATAAGCATCAGTGGAAACACACACATGCTTAAATACTAAGCTCAAAAGTTTAAAAATAACACGGAATCCAAATAAAAATAAAAAAAAGGCTTAGCAAAAATTTTACTTCGGCACACCCAGTGTGATCGCTTAGATCGCCTTAACGCTCAGTCGATCTAGCATACTTTTAGGCGTTGCACAACTATGCAACGCAGCGAACGATCGCGTTAGCGACGTGCTCGCGAATAATTTCCAGTGTTTAACATGCTATGCTTGTTTTCATTATTATTATTTTCTTGAATTTTGGGTAACAAAGTTGGCGCTTAACATTGAGCAGATAATTTTGGCTGCTTGGATATTTTTTTTTAATTTATTTTTTGATTTTTATTTTGGTATTTTTTTTCTGCACTTGTACGAGTTTACTCACCTTCCATGACATAAACAATGCTGCCGACATCACCCTCCTTGATGATGAGACTCTTTGCCGCATATTTAACCGGATACATGCAATCGACAATTTCGCGTATCTGAGTTATATCCAAATTCTTCATGAAATCATTATCCAATATGGCTGATTTGATGAGTTCACGTGATCTGCAAGGAAACGGCGTGAAAAATATATATATGAATATTTAGTAAATATGTATGTACGTGTGTGTAAGAAAATAAATTGTTGCTTAAGTGGCAAACAGTGCAGGCAAACGCTGCAACAATAACAACAAATAGTATTTATATTAATAAAAATAAAAATGTAAATAATATTATTAATGGGACAGGAAGAAGAAGATGAAAAGCACATTTCACGCGTTGCGCGCACATTTGTTTATATGAGACGCGCGTGAGGAAATAAATATGTATGCGTATTAATTAAATGAATGGTGACACAACTTTTTATTAACAACAACAACAAAAACCTCGCAAAAGATACATAACAACACACTCCCCCCTCCACTACTCCACCCCAACTCACAGCTCTGATTTGGGTATCTTCATCAGCTCACTATTCTCATCCACCAAATCGGATAGCGGCTCTGCGCTACAGCCCTGCCGCTTCATGCGCGGCTCACTACCCGTCGCCACCATGCGTGTGCCGCCCACACCACCATGGGCCGCCGCATCATACTCATCTGCGGTATGTTGTAGGAACACCTGCGTTAGCGGACGCACCACCTGTCGAAATTTATCCAACTCATTTTGCAGCTCTGTCATTGTTTGATCTTTATTGGCACATTCTTGCTGCAGACGCGCAATACTGCTACAGAGAAAACGTATTTTATCGCGATTCTTAACAAGGCGCGCATCCTTTAATTGAAGCTCCGCTTGCAATTTGGTTAACACATCCGTATGTCCGTTTGAGGCTTCACACGCGTTCTCCTCGTCCTCACCGCCATCAGCTTGTGTGCCATCACTCGACGTGGATACGACGCTGAGCAGTTGATGACAGGTTGTGCATTGACTTTTCTCCAGCTCCTGTTGGAGTAACGCACATTTGAGCGACTTGCGGTGGAGCGCTTCACGCACTAGCTCCAGTTCGCGACGCATATCTTTTAGTTGCTCCTCCAAAAGATGCGGATCACGTTGTGGTGTATCATTTGCGCGATTGTTGTTATTATTAAAACGAAACATATCATTAAATTAAAGGAGGCGTTAGAGCAAACAAAAATATTTTATATTTAAGGTTTTGCATGTACACGCCGAAATCGAACCAATGCGCACTGTTGCCTTCTCGCGACTATTTATGCATGAAAAAAATTTTCGGCAATGTTAGTAACGCGCGCGCGACGCTTTGTATAGAGCGCGCTGCAGAGTCACTCTCTACCGCCTGCGCGCGCTGCCTGTAATACGCTTATCGCTGTTGGGCGCCGCCGCGCGTTTGACACATTCAGTGATTAAGGCGCGCGCAACTGCTTGTTACACACCGACCGCGCGCGCTTGCGTATATGCATACGCGCCCTAAGGTCGTCGTCGCACTTGGCCTTTCGCTGTTTACTCACTACACAGTTTTTCTTTACTTCTTTTGACACTGTTGCTTACACTTCGCGTTGTTACAGCTGATCAGTGTTTATACACGAATATCGTAATTACAATTTTTAGGTTTGTTTATTTTATTATCTTCTTCATTCGTTGAATCGGTGTGTTTTGTCACTTCTGTCGGTTGCGAAATGTCACGCGCTAAAAACCAATTCTCAGCGCTTCATTCCCGTACACAACGCGTTGTCATGGGCAGTGAAGAGCGCGCGTCACAGCTGACACTCTCAATTAGTTGGGTGGCTCATTGCCAAGCGTTGCGGCAGTGCCGCGCGGTCAGACGCGCTCAACAGCGCTATTTTGTTTATTTTTTTTCAGGATTTCTTTTATTTGGTTGCTTTGTTATTGTTGTTGGCGCGCAAATAATTGAGTGGACTTTTGTACGTGGTATGTGCGGTGACGACGGCAGCAGCTACTCACTGACTGCCATACTGCTACATTATAATTCTGTTGTGCTCGCAGTCGCTGCTGCTCCCGTTGTTTGTTGTAATTGCTTTTATGTGCTTTGCCTTTTTCCACTTATGTTTTTACTGTTTTTGTTGTTGCTATTATTATTATTGTCTTCAATTAAAAGCAATTAAAAAGAGTCTGACGTAGTCGCTGTTCACCAGTCCAGCTCAGCCGGTATAATGCTGTTTTCTTGCCACATTAAGCATTGGGTGAGCAACAGAAACAACAACAACACTGTGCTGCTTTTAAATAATAATAATAATTTTTTAATATTAATAGTAATCACAAACAACACCGGCAGCAACGCGCTCAAGAAAAGCTAGCGCCCAACACTTCTCGCAGGCACAGTGGTACTGATTTATGTAAGATGAAATGCTGAGAAGGCGAACTTTTGCTTTCGTTTGTCATAAATGTATGCACCTCTTTCTCTTCCTCTTCTTCTTCCTCTAGATACTCTGCAGTGTGGTGCTCGTACATTCTAAGCGTTGCAATGGATTTCCTCTTTCAAGTAGCTGACATAAAAAAATTTCGCCAATTTCATCTTCTGCTGTTTTGTATTCGTCTAAACATGTACGTATGCATATATGTATGTATGTCATTTCCGAAAAAAAATTATTTTGAATGGCAGCCAATTTTGTCTCTACCAAGCTCTTATGGGTTGAGTAGCAATAGAAATGTTTTCTTTTTTCTTATTTGCCATTGGCGTCCTGAGCAGTGTGAAAAGGAGGGTTGGAAGAATGAAAGATGGGAGCTTATTGCGTAAAGAAATAACTGTTGTTGCAATATTTTCTTTTAATCAATAAGGAACGGCAGTATAAGACCAAACCTCATGATAGATCGGGAAAAAATGCTTAACTGTGTTGAGCGGCAACAATAGCCAAGAGGCCCATAATCGTCGCACTCATTGAACGGAGAACATATTATAGATTGCGCAGAAGCAATGGAAAGTAGGACGATCCCTCGCTGGCTCCTTGTCTAAGAAGTGGTTATGAAGCTACAAGACCTGTGGGAGGGAATAGTACACGCTGAAGGAACAGGAGGTTTGAGCGAATAGATCTTAGGTCACTTTTGGAACTTCAAGATGCAGTAAAGACTGAGACGGGAGTGCAACCCAAACTCGAGAAGAATACTATTTTAACAGTGAAGGTTCTTAAGCTTTTTTATGCAATACTTAGCTCATTAACAATCAAAACAGTGCTCGCATGAGAGGCAGACTCGACAATTTCCGTAATTTATCGACATTTTCTATAATTGGACTTTCTCTCCGTGGATTATCTTTTACATCACAAACACCGGATGGAAATAGAGGAAGCCAAATTTGTGTACGATTGACTGTTACAGTATGGGGACCATGAAAACTATTCACATTTTTAGCTTCCTGGATTGCATTTTCACCTTTAGCGAAGAAAAATTGTAGAATATAGAGAGTCCTCCCTTTGCTTTATAGGACACAAAGTGATCTAGCCACCGATGCCCAGAGTATACTGAATTTATGGAGGAAACACTTCTCCAACCTGCTGAATAGTAGTGAAAATGGAAAATCCGGAGATGGTGCACCCGAAACCCCAATCGATGACGATGGAAAAGACGTTCCATTACCTCACCATGACCGTGGGATAAGCCTCCTATATCGCTTATAAGGTCCTGGCGATCCTGATTCGACCTTATCAGTGTGGCTTCAGAACTGGACCATTGACCAGATGTTCACAATGCGCCTAATCTTGGAAAAGACCCGTAAAAGAGGACCGCCCCTACCACCTCTTCGTCGAATTTAAAGCCGCCTTCGATAGCACGAATAGGAGCTGCCTTAACGCAGCTATGTCTGAATTTGGTATCCCCGTAAGACTTATACGGTTGTTCTAGCTGACGCTAGAAAATACCAGAAGCGCACTCAGAATAAGGAACGCCCTCTCCGGGGCGGTCGGTACGAATTGGGGTTTCAGACAGTTTGACTCGTTGTCGTGCGATTTCTGCAATTCGATGCTGGAGAGAATAATAAGAGCTGCTGAGCTGAACAGAGAAGATGCAATCTTCTATAAAAGTGTACAACTACTGGAGTACGCCGATGATATTGACATTATCGGCCTCAACAACCGCGCCGTTAGTTCCACTTTCTCCAGGCTTGATAAAAAAGCGAAGCGAATGGGTCTGGTAGTGAAGGAGAACAAGACGAAATATCTGCTGTCATCAAACAAACAGTCATCGCATTCGCGACTTGGCTCCCACGTGACTCTTGACAGTCATAACTTTGAAGTCGTAGATAATTTCGTCTACCTAGGAACCAGCATCAACACCAACAACTACTTTGGAGTGAGTAGGAAATAGAAAAGTAAAGTCCTCTCTCGGCGAATGAAAACAAAACTCTACAAGTCTCTCATCGTTCTCGTCCTGCTATATGGTTCGGAGGCATGGACGATGACAACATCCGATGAATCGGCGTTAGAAGTTTTCGAGTGAAAGGTTTTTCGTAAGATTTAAGGTCCTTTGCGCATTGGCACGGCGAATACCGTAGACGATGGAATGATGATCTGTTCGTGTTATACGGTATCAGTGGAATAATTCAGCGAATCAAATAACATACGCTACGCTGCCTAGCTCATATGGTCCGGATGTATGCGAATACTCGAGCTTTGAAAGTTTTCGAGCAGTACCCGTCGGTGGAAGTAGAGGAAAAGGAAGACCTCTACTCCGTTGGAAAGATCAGGTAGAGAAGGACCTAGCTGTTCTTGGTATTTCCAATTGGCGCCAAACAGCAAAAAGAAGAAACGAATGTTATTAAATCGGCTAAAACCGCATAAGCGGGGTCTATGCCAGTAAAGTAGTAAGTAAGTACCCCATTAGGAGCACATGATCAAACTCGTTGCTTAAGTGCAGCCCTCAGTCTCCCAATTCAACCAACCTACCATTCAAGTGCCCGATTTTGAGACGTCTTAACTTCAGTTTGCTTCGAGTTCCAGCTGCGCGAAAGAGGGTATGCGTGGGTTAATGGAAAAAAAAAAATTGTTTATTACACCAAGCGAACTGTTCACTGAGAGCACTGGTCCTCACCCATCAATCGGCCAACCGAGTCTAAAAATCGTATTGAGTTTTTCACTTTTTTAGTAAAACACATTCAA